CCCCAAAACCCCAAAACCCCAAAACCCCAAAACCCCAAAACCCCATTTTATCATAATCCCCAGAAATTACATTTTATTTTTAAATTTTGGATAGCATACTCCTCCTTCGCATTTCACTTCCATCGCTTTTGTCTTAGAAGGGTTGAAGGAAGTCCTGGCAGGTGGGATATTCTTTAGTTCTAGAGTTGTCACCTCTCCGTCTTCATAATCGACTGTTCTGATACAATGATTGTTTGTATCAGCTATTAGTACAGTGAGCTTATCATTTCCACTAATGTCTTTGGTCCAAATTGAATAGCAGCCACTTGGCTCACTGAATTGAGAGCTTTCTAAGTTTCCGTCTTGAAGACCTCCTTCTCCATTTCCAAGCCAAGAGTGAATTTCATCAGTGAGAGGGTCAATGATCTTTATTTTGTGGTTATATGTGTCTGTTACCAGTACTATGTTCTTGTTCTTAACAAAGTGTACTCCTAAAGGATGTTGAAGCTTAGCTCTTATACCAACACCATCTTTATCTCCATATGCAAAGAGATTATATGGATTGTTATCTCCCCCAACTACATTTCTTGATGAAGTTCAAGACTTCATATCTATTGCTCTAATCGCACTACTCTCGGAGTCAGCAACGTAAATCTCAGTTGTTTCTTCATTGAGTACACCAAGAGAAAGACCTGATGGTTGAGACCATGCTCATTTATTAAGACTGTCATCGCTATCCAGGTTTGCTTCTGCTCCTGTTCCACTAAAGTTAAATCACTTGTTGTTCTTAAGGTTGAGTGCCCAAATCTGATGAATCCCTGCCATTGCAATAATCAAGGTGTCCTTATTAATAGCTACAATATCCCAAGGGCTTGATAATTCCTGAACGTCCGGATTTTGATTTCCTTCTCTATCATTTCCCTGCTTTCCAGTGCCAATCACAGTAGCGACTTCCTTCTTGTTGAGGTTGATTCTCCTAATTGCATGGTTGTTTGAATCGCAGACGTACAGGTAGTGCTGCTCGTCTTTGAAGATATGTCAAATCCCTTGTGGATGATGGAATGAAGAATTTTCATATTCCCCATTATCAAACCCAATTTTTCCGGATCCAACAACATCTAGGCATTCGTTAGTCTCTAAGTCTGCAATAATGACTCTGTTGTTACCAGTGTCTGAGAATATCATTACATTTCCATCGTAAGGTAGCAAGGCTTGGTTAGCGATACAAATCACCTTGCTTGGAAAGCGAAGGTTCGACTTTAGAGCAGCACTTTCTTCAGAAGTTAAGGAATCTAGTCGATTCTCTTTAGATTCCCTCTCTTCGATTTCTTTCTCTTCCTCTAAATAAAGATCGAGTGGAGTCCTATCCAGACGATCGCCATAAAAATCGACTGCAACTTCAAGGAACAGATTGATTCTTTCTCTGTGACCTTCACCACTGAGAAATAAGATTGGAACTCCATCTGGAGAGAGGATAGCAATGCTAGGCCAGCTATTTCTCTCTAGCTGTTCCCAGAAAATCATTTCCTTGTCGTTGAACACTGGATGTTTGACATCATACTTTCTTACTGCTTCTTGAACCTATAGTAAGATTTTAGATTTATGTTAAAAATTGGTGTTTGTACCTTATCTGATTCTTTCTCATTGGAAAATTTCGCAGAATGGCATCCAACAAATGCAATGCCTGCTTCATCTGAGTACTTGTTTTCAAGCCACTCAAGATCAGGTAGCACATGGAGACAGTTGATTCAGCAATAAGTCCAAAAATCGATTACAACTAGTTTATCCTTAAGTTCTTTCCTCAAACTCAAAGGTTCGGTGTTGAACCATTGGTGACGAGAAGGGAAGTCTTTAGCTATGAGTTTCTTTTTATTCTTTCAGATGTGCCCTTCCATTGTGTTTAAATGCTCGATAATATGACCCTTTGCTTTGCTCCCGGTATATCTCCGGAGCAAGTAAGTAAGACTTTGAGATTCTTCTTCGATCTCAGAGTAGCTTCATGAGTACCCCATCATCCTCAATTTTAGTATTTAGCAAATTTAATAAATTACCCGGGGTTTTGGGGTTTTGGGGTTTTGGGGTTTTGGGGTTTTGGGG